TTGTGGTTAACTGCTAGTGTCACTGTGAAAATTTTATAGCCCTTTTACTTCGAGTTTCATTTTACTTTTGACTAATATCTTCAAGGGTCTCTTAATTATTTACTTTCTGATATATCCTAAGAGATTATGATCAAATCACCTTATAACCATCTCCAGTTTGTATATTTTGCTTCAAGGTGTCTGCTACATTAGGTTAACAAAGCTTATGTCCTGTAAGACTCCATTAGAAAGACATCTCCTCTTCTTTCAATTACATTTGAAATGCATCAGATTGCAATTATTTAATCAGTATAATGGCTGCCCCATTAGGCACTGAAGCAAAATCAAATAAAATGCCTTGTATAAATACAGGTCATCAGTGGTTACCTTTCCCAAATACTAATCTTGTTAAAACATAAATTAGTTTGAAATTGCAAGTTTCCAAACCCCATGTTGATTGGATACATCGATTCAGTTATTAATTATCTGAGCCCATAATTTGTTGGGATTAATCTTATGTTGATGGGCAAATAATTGCTTGGGGTGTCTCATTAGCCTTTTACAGAATGGCATATTTACTTCTGATCTTTCCAACTTTCCTGTTATTTTGTAACTTTGCAGTATTGAAAATTCTTGACCAGCTTTGAAATTTGATTTTTCCTCTCCCTCTCTGCTCTGCTCTTGTGAGGCCTCATCTGGAGTACTGTGTCCATGTCTGGGGTCCCCAATACAAGAAAGACAGGAAGCTGTTTGAGAGGGTCCAGAGGAGGCTCACAAGGATGATTAGAGGACTGAGCACCTCTCTTATAAGGACAAGCTGAGGGAGCTGGGCTTGTTCAGCCTGGAGAAGAATGCAGGGTGACCTCATTGCAGCCTTCCAGTACCTAAAGGGAGCCTATAAACAGGAAGGGAGTCAACTCTTTGAAAGGGAATATAATAGCAGGACAAGGGGAAACAGTTTATGTTGAAGAAGGGAAGATTAAAGTTGGATATCGGGGAGAGAGTGGTGAGGTGCTGGAAGAGGCTGCCCAGAGAGGTTGTGGATGCCTCATCCCTGGAGTGTTCAAGGCCAGGTTGGATGGGACCCTGGGCAGCCTGGTCTACTATTAGATATGGAAGTTGGTGGCCCTGCCTGCAGCAGTGGGATTGGAGCTTCATGATGCTTGAGGTCCTTTCCAACCCAAGTCATTCTATGATTCTATGAAACTCAAGTACTGTACTTAGGTACAGAATCGTAAGATATGCATCTCAAAAGATATGTTTTACATACTTTTTACATGGAGTATATTTAATCATTGTTTGGTGTTTCAAATTTATCATGTCTTTTTTTTTATTCTGTTGATTTTTTTCTGATAGGAGAGTGACAGTAGAAGTATGATTCTGTCCATTTCTATTAATTTAGATAGTCTTTGTTTCTAGTGATCAATTTTCTATCAAATATTTAGCCTTCTTATTTTTTTTTAATCTGCATCATCATTTCTAATATCAGTTTCCATATTTGTATTTTAGATGTACTTTTATGTTTATATACACAGGGATATTCATGTAGAATAAATGCATAGCTAAAATATATTTACGGCATATTATATTTTGATTTTGTATATGGATAGAAAATATACACATTTCAAATTTATTTTAATTTCTCAAAATATAGATTTTTAAAAAAAATTTTCATGTGCCTTTGTTTTTTTGACTGGGATATGTTAAGAAACTATGAAATATTCTTCAACCATTTCCCTTCATCAATCATTGCATTTTTTTCCATTTCAATTCCTCCTTAAATTGCCTTGTCTCATAATTATTCCAAGTCATTATCTGATAGCCGTTATGCACATGTGTATGCATATTTTTATTTGTATAACTTCTTCTCATTGAAAGTAGCAAAGTAGCCATATAATTTTTGTAATTAAAATAATCAGGCATTACCTAGCAAACTAGAATTCTCCTATTTAAAATAAATATATTAATTTTAATTGCCTTCCTCAAGGATAGGTGTTAATCCCGTTTCAATTCCCTCCCTGAGTTGGTATGAACAAGATTAAGTACTTATATCTAAACAGCAATGATTAAACAATACAGAGATTAGCAGTTTGCTAAGAAATGAAACTGAGAATTCACCTTGTTGGGTGTAGCAGTATGAAAATTGGAGGCAAAAATTTAAAAAAAAAACACACACAAAAAAAAAATGGTTTGAGAGAGTCTTTACAATGGCTGTAACAAATACTGTACCCCTAAGTAGTAGAAATATATGCAGTATTTTCTACTTCTCATCATTCTTCAGTTCTGGGCTCTTCTGGGGACATACATATTTTTAATATAATATAATTTAATATTTTTTTTTTCTTTTTTAAAAGTGTATCAATATTATAATTGTTTAAGAGATCTATAGGTCATACACCAACAGGACATGATTATTCTAATGAAATGAAGTCATTTGGCCTTCAACCACACAGAATTTAATATGCACCTGAGGCACAGATTAATGACCTGCTAATATATCTCATTTAATGTCTCATTTCTTAAATAAACCAGTTCAAGTGATCTTTGGGAAACTATCCAATAAATAAGTGAAAAAAGCAGTACCTGTTATGACTTACTGAATGCGTTACTTAAGTTTGTGTAAATAGAAAGTTGTTTTTGAGGTTTAGGTACTATTTCAAAATTCACTCTATGTTGCAAGTTTCCTAACAGTTAGGACTGTAAAAGAAAAGCTCCTAAGGTTCCATAGTGGGTCAGACACTGAAATGGATATTATGCTGAGTGATGAATGGAAAAAAGTTAACCAGAATCTGATGTCTACACACGCAGTGAAGGTTCTCAAAGGGTCACAATTAAAGGTTCATTGCTTTTATCTTCATTGCTTGCTGTGACCATGTTGTGGTGGATGCTGCACCTAGAGACCTTCTGGCAGCCTTGAAGATGGATGGGAGCACCTAGAGTAGCAGTGGGGCAGCAGATGAGCCTGGATGTGCCTTTGGCCATGTGATAGAGCTGTATCTTAACTGCCTTCATTCTTCCTGCCTACTGTTGTTGTTCTAGAAAACACTACACTCTCTCCGAATTGGTTGCAACCAAAAGGTTCCCCTGCCAGCCACAAGGAGCACCTTTAAGGCTGTGCATGACCAATAGTACACCCTCTAGGAATGTCTGCTAGGAGCATACCCCCATTTATTTTTTATAAAGAATATTATTACATATTGTTATAAATGTTTAATATTTGAAAGCTCAGCTCTTGAGGGCTCCACAAGAATCTTTTTCCATACCTACATAAGAAAGGTGTCAGATACAGTCTACATTGTTGCCTGAAATTTATATAATTCTGCTTATTTTTTCTGCTTTCCTTGAAGATTTTTATGTTCTGTGCTTATTGTTGTTAGTTCTTTTGCATATGTCCATGATATTGACATGCTGTGTGGTTTTTTTCCTTCGCATGCATCTGTTCAATGATCAAATTTAGAATCTTATAAATAGCACTAAGCTCATCCCTGTTAACGCAGGAAGATATTTTAGGTGTTTTCCAACATGTAAATTCAACAGACTGGTGTTTTCATCGAATATATTAAAAAGTAAGTAAGCTTAGCTCCTAATTTTTCTTTAACAAAAAAAAAAAAAAAAAAAAAAAAAAGCTTTTCTGAATTCTACTACACAGACAAAGTATATACCTGTTTAATTAATTATTTAGTTCCTTGCAGTAATAGCAAAGAACATTAAAGACTCACAGGAATTGAACTATTGGGTTGGATTCTGTAGCCTTTTAAAATATAATCCATGTAAAATCTGTATTAAACATATTTATAACATGTTATTTTATTTCCTAAATCTGGAAATCCTGCATGATTTTTTCAGCTGTAAAGAAAACAATATTAGTAATTGAATATATTGGATAAATGAAGAAATTTGGTCCTCACAGATTCAGTGTGACTAATTGCAATGCAATTTAGAAATTTTAATATGCATTCAAGGTCCCTGTTGAAATACTAATCTTTATAACTTTTACCTTATAAACATTTCTGCAAAGATCTTTACTGTAAGCAGCATGTATCTGATAAAAATAGAGATGTAGTAAAAATGAAGTGTTTTGCCAGTGATATTTGAGATGTTGGAAAAAAGGGCTAAAGTAAAGAAAAGGGGAAAATATTAGGTTAGTCTAGTATCTTACATGAAAATAAATCAGAAATTGTTATAGTTAAAAGTCAGGTTGTTGAGCAAAGTTTAACCACTTGAATGCTAATCAATTGGCAAAACATGTACGTACGTCTGTGTGTTTTACATGTGGTCTGGTGTTTACATGCAGGCAAAGGTCCCGCCCAGAGCTTCAGGCTGGAGGAGAGCTCAGGGGGATCCTAATTGTGAATATAAATGTGCAATCAGAGGGACTAAAGATGAACATTAAGTTAAAAATCTAAAAGCAAAATGTAAAGTAAAAATAAAGATCACCAGAATAGTAATGCTGACGTAAATGAGTCCATTCTTAACCTTCTGTATGCTCTTTTATTTGTATATTTCTTTTAAAATAAGGAAATGAACTCCTTAGAATAGTAGTTTGTTTATCTTCTTTCACGCAGAATCGTAGGGACTGGAAGGGCCCTCTGGAGATCATCCAGTCCAACTTAGTGCTAAGGCAGGTTCCCTACAGCAGGTTGCACAGAAAAGCATCCAGATAGGTTTTGTATATGTCCACAGAAGGGGACTCTTGGGGCAACCTGTTCAAGTGCACTCTCACATTAAAGAAATTCTTTCTCATGTGCAGATGGAACTTCCTGTGTTCCAGTTTGTGCCTTCTGCCCCTTGTCCTAACAGGAAGTTACATATTAGTAATTGGAGAAAGCTTTTCCTCCATTCTAATGCCGTGTATAAATTAATATACGGTAATATGGAAACTGAAGATGTCAGTTCCTTCTTTGTATCAGTTCCAAAAGTTATTTTGAATGCATGGCGTAGGGCAGCATAGATATTTGCTTGTACAAAAGATGATTTTATCAATATATACAATTTATTTATTTTTTTTTTTTCTCATCAGAATGGCACATTTTGAGCAGTTTCACTGTGACTTTTACCAGTCCAATTACAACATAGATGATCAGGAAAATTACAGCACTTGTGACTCTAGTGAAAATCTGAATGGAAATAAAAAGTAAGTATGCTACCAAAAGAAAAAGAAGAGCAAGATTTCAAAACTCAGGTGAAATTAATGACAAAGAAAAGTATTCAGTTGAAACAAAAGGATTCTGTGAACAACGCAGCTGGAATTTTAAGGGTGAAGTAGAAGTTGTAGCAGTAGAAAGATGAAGAGAATACTTTTATTCCTTTTTCTAATGTATTTTTTTGAAATCAAATGGTGACTTGTGCACCATGACACTGAGGAAAAGAAGTTCTAAGTTAAGGAGATTTCTAAACAACCATGTTGCAAGAGGCTGGATGTTGTTGCAGCCTCCCTGTTCAGCAGCTGATGGATCTGGCTGGTTCTAGGACTTGCACAGGGAAATGAAAAGGCAGAGACCAGGCCTAACCTGCCATAAAACTCTCTGCCCTACAGAGATATTCATTTAGCCCTACCCACAATGGCAGTGCTCCACAGAGTTTGCACCTCCCTTCTGGGAAGTATCAGGAAATAAAAAATAATTTTGATTGAAACAGAAAGATGGGTATCAAAGGATGAGAGATTAGGGCCAGCTCTCTCTATGCCTTCTGGTTATACAGAAATAAAATTATATATAATAATAATTGGGAAATCATAGAAAAAAGAGCAGGAAAGAGCTTTGAGATCTATACCTCCCCCAAGGCTGATTTACTTATAATTAAGCCTATCATTATAAAGGATTGGGATCTGCACTACTGTTGAAAATAGTTGAAAATGTAAACCATGGCACACGGGTGAAGCAGCTCTAGGGAACCGTTGAGTTTCTCATTGCCATTACTTGTTTCACTGCAATTTGCTTCTTGTCCCAGGAGCCAGACAGGACACAGACCTCTGGCTGGTGCTTTTGTCCCCTCAGAAATGCTGTTGCCATCTCAGAGTTACACGGGTCAGATTTTACAGCCAACAGTTCTATACAGTTCCAACACTCTCTCTCATCTTAGCTACAATGATGTTTTTGATGAGGAACCTCCTTTGCTAGAAGGTAAAATAAAACCAAGGACAATGCATGTGTGTATGCTTCTGTATCAGCCACCAGAGTATCTACAAGAGAGGCACTCAGCCTGGCTGTTGAATTTGCCCTTGTGTATGCAACTTTGTCCAACTGCTCCTGTCCTCAAACCTGAATTTTCTTATTTGAGGTCCGCAAGGGTTTAATTCATTATGTCATATATGGCATATGCTTTACTACCACTAGATGACAGCATAACAATAAGTTTTACATTCATATTTCCAAATATTTTTCCATGTTTATACTGCATGCAAACTGGAATATCTTTTATTAATAAACATTGTTAATAATCTTATTTGCTTATCGAGTAATAAATTTTACAGTTTGAAGATGCTAACTAGATTGTTTCAGTGTAAAGGAAATTTTTAAAGCTGCATTCAGCTTCAATTGGTTGATCATTTAACTGTATGAACAGTATCATTCTTCATGATGATTGAACTATCTTAATGCTAGTGGCTGACCTGTAGATGAACATTCAGTTAGCAAAATACCAGTACTACCTACATTAATAAATAAATAAATAAATAAATAAATGTGACTACTCCACAATTATATAAAAGGAAAGTATGCAGCCTGTTTTTGCACTACTTTAAACCACCAAGATCATTCTGAATGACATGGATAACTGCTAGATCTCCAACTTTCAGTCCTTCCGGCATGTAACCCCATGGGCAACTCACCCCATGAAAAGAATGTTGAAATACAACTACTTGTGATCTACAGAGCTGCAGAGACATTCATGACTGTGTCAAATAAACTGACCAAGGTCAAACATTTTAATACAGAACAACCTTATTTATGTAATGTTTTGTCTTAGCTCGAAATGATGGATTGGTGAAGAAGGCCTAGCTTTTCAAACAGCTCTAACATATTGTCAGCCTCAGTCATTTTGGCAACCAGTTCTGAATCTTTTTCTTGCTGAAGCATCTGAAGAAAAATGATCTTTCAAGATGAAGTGTTTCTGAAGAAGTCAGAAAAGAAATCTTTGCCCCAGTGAAGTCAGTGGCAGAATTCCTATTGACTTTAATGGGAAATAAATTTGTTCTGTTTCCAGGGTTTCCAGTAATTACGTTTTAAATGCAAAAAGCTTATAAAGCACTCTACAAAGTATTATTAACTTGCCTTGAAGGAAAGGATGTCACTTTTAAGTGCCTCTGGCTGCTAAGGCTTAAGACACATCTCTTGTCAGACTTACCAGAATTAAATCATATATCTGTGTCTTCAGTTTTCCAGAGTATCTTGAATTCTGCAGTTAATGTTAATTAGCATATTTTTCAGCATCTAAGTTAGTGTGGTTTATACATACACATATATATATATGTTTTAAATATAGGAAAAACAAATATTAACTTGAAAATGCTGAAGGCATTTTTTGACTCATTAGATTTAATTAAAAAAAATATTTGCAGTTTAGAATCAGAGCTGACTCTCAGCTATACTGGATGAAGAGGTACAGCATGATCCTACTACAGAATATGTCATCCTACAATATTATCTTCATTAAAGTGATTAATTTGTTTAGGGATCTGTGATATCTACTGTGTTACTGTAAAAGTGTTGTTCTCTTGTAAGCAGTTCTGGAATTTCTCATTGCAGAACTCGGGATAAATTTTGAGCACATATGGCAAAAAACTTTAACAGTTCTAAATCCAATGAAACCTGCAGATGGCAGCATTATGAATGAGACGGACCTCACTGGACCTGTGGTTTTCTGTTTGGCCCTTGGAGCAACGTTGCTGCTGGTAGGTTATGCTAGGAATTTAAGTGATCAATTTTCTGACAAGTTAATGCTTCGGTGATTAATGTACATGAAGTAGCAGAAGATGTAGATCTCACACACACACACACACACACATATATATATAATGAGTCATTCTCTGCTATTTTCCCAAGATTACATGTAAAAAAGACTTCTTGCTTGAAAGTACATAATGTTTAATTGTAATGTAGATGTAATACAAGTAAAGTGGTGTGTTACTTCCAATGAAAATAAAAGATCTCAGCATTATTGGAGGTAGGATTAATATGAACAAAGGGCAGCTCTGCACAGTACGTAGACTGAGTACATAGACTGAGTCTATGTACTCTTAACACTCGAGGCACGACGTGAACTAGGTAAGGACATAAAAGGGAATTTCCAAAGGAGGGAAAAAGAAGGCATAACAGACTGGGCCAGTTTTTAAAGCACTCTTGATGCTTTCTTTTTTTTTTTAATTATCCTCTTCATTTGTTATTCTGGGGAGTGCAGAGATATTAAAGAAAAATTTACGTATCTTTATGCAACTAAAAATATTTCAACAAGAAAAGGGAAGCACTTTTTCTACCTTCTTGTCAAAATTTACAATACCTTTCTATAAATTTTGCTAGCATCTTCTTAATCTACGTTCTCTTTCTACATCGTCTGCTAAACAAAATATGGAAGCCTGTGCTTAAAATTGTTCCTCTTTATGAATAGAGTTTCCTACAGCAGGAAAGCTGAAAGAAAGATTGTATGCTAGTCCAAAATTCATCTATTTGTCACTGACAACAGAGGCTCTCTGGTGCTGCTGAAGGACAGCTCTGATTGTCAGCAACCATTTATCAGACAGGGACAAGGTGGGACTGTTCTGGGGAGGGTTTGCAGCGCTGACATCTGAGGGGAGAGAAAAGGGGCTCTAATTCTCCTTTTCCTCTGTGATAAATAGTGCTGAATCAGAAGACTTGAAAGTTCTTACTCAATTTGTAATGTCAGTGCAGTACCTTGACTGTGCAAACTGCAATATAAAAGGCAAGTGTTATTATTTATGTGCCTGTAAAACTAAAAATATTTTAAAAGAGTGGAAGCAGCAGGAGGAAAGGGAATAAGGGGAAAAGAAGGTGGGAAGCTACAGAAGATGGGATCTTTCCCACCTAGAGAAATAAAGATGAGGGGAGTAAAGGAGAAAGTGCTGAATTGACTATAGGCAGAAAAATGGAAGAAGACCATAAAAAAAATAGTGCTGTTGATTTTTCTCCTTGGACAGTGAGATTTTACAATAAATATTAAGCTAGTATTATTGAAATAAAGTACTTAAATTACCATTTTTATTCCAAGATATTAGATATTAAACATGTTGTCATTGGAAAAACAACATGGAAAAAGCACTTTAAGTGCTCTAGGTTTTGGCAAGAACTCCTCTGACACGGTCTACTGCATCAGAGTTTTTGTGCCACAGTTTCACAGGAAAATGTTTATGGGATTTCCATGGCCATTTTAAAAATTCAAACTTCCCATTTTTATTTTGGGTACATTTGAATACCGGAGTTGCTCTTGAGCTACATAAGCTATGATATCCTTTAATACTTCAGTAATTCTTCTTATAGAACCAGGAATGTAACTTGGTTAAAAGCTTGTTTCAAGAAATAATTTAGAAATTTTACTTACTTTCAGCTTTTTAACTATGAAAAATATGCAAAAATGTTCTTTAAATGTTAGCATTTCTTTTGGATCACAGAGAAAATGAGAAAGGGCTTGTTAGCCCTGCAGCAGGACTTGCTCTTCCTCATGCTGGTGAAAAGCAAGGCAGCTCCACTGCAGAGAAAGAAACAACAGCAGTGCAAAAGTTTGCACGCTTTGCATTCTACATAGTCATTTGTCACAGCTCTTCTCCATATCCTGAAACTGAGGGTAGCAGCGCCCATTCCAGGCAGGTGCAAACAAGCACACAAGGTCTGACTTTCTTCTAACCTTGTTCCTTCCGCAGGACAAATTTAGTGCTTTCAATTCATCAAAGCCTGCCAGGCTAATCAAGTCTGATTCTGGTTTTGCTTACATTGCTGTGAACTGGGAGTATTCCCGTGTGCGTGAGTCAGTATATTTACATAAGTTAGCAACAGCTCAAATTGGAACAAATGCGTTCAGCTGCGTTTTCTCTCTCTCTCATTCCCCTGCACCACAAATCAAGCACTGCACCAAATGGAGGTTTCAGTTGGCTAGTGCTCCCTTCATCTCTGTCTCAGTAATTTGGTTATCTTAGATTAAGCTGCCAAATAGTGCCGTGTGAAACCATTAAAAACACCAAAACAAACAGGCTAAAATATTAGCTTACAGTCATTGTTGCATCTCTGAGGGACATAATTTTTCTTAATTGATCAACAGTATATGCTGCCCCAAACAGCCACACATGACAAACTTAATACAATACTTTAGAAACTGAAATTGTGACGGATAATAATTCATCTATTACTGCTCTTCCACGCTACCTCTAACTGTCATTAATTCTATTTGATGAAGCAATTTTTCCTGTTTGTTTTATACAAGTAGTATACAGACACTAGTAAAGGTCTCTTTCATACATAGCAAGCACTTGGGTCAATGCAAGACTATGGGTAACCTGAGTGTATCTAACTTGGAAGCAGAGCAGAGGTCAGCAATGAGCCAGGATGAGCTGAAAAGCAGGATGATGGTGCTGATGGAGAGTCAGGTCTTACTGGCTAAGGCTGCCTTTCATGTAAGCACTCTTTCTTCATAAGGTGAGCTGACACCATCCTGCAACTTCAGGACTTTCAACTTGTGCCATCACTAGATTATTGTCTCTCTTTTACATTTCTTTATATCTGTCCAGCTCAATACTGCTGGCATCCTGTGATCAGCTTCCATACAAATGAGGGATCAGAGAAACAGGGTCTTCAAAGATGTTTAGTTTCCACTAGGATTCATTAAAATGTGAATTTGAGGACAGTAAATCTTAGTCCTCCTAAACCACTGTGGAAGAGACACCTGTAAATATTTTAAACCAGGGAAAGGCTTCAGTAGTATTTCCATCTTTTACACCATAAGAGAATCCAAGCATAAGCTACAAAATGAATAGAAAACTGAAACCCTCTCTAAGCTTTGATTCTCCTGAATTTATCCTATGCAGTATGTAATGAGTGACATATAAAAGTATACACACAAATGCACCTGAGTGTTAAGTATGTTTATATGTATTCTTATGTGTTAGAAAGGTGATGCATTGTGGCACTTCCTTTGACAAGTTTATTCTACTGTACTGAGCTGAGGGTTGAGGCCAGGGTTTAAGCTATCCCCTTCATAAATGCATGTTATCTTTAAGAATCAAAGTTCCAACACAAAACAAACAAACCTGTCTTCATCCCAGATCACTGTTTATTTCTGATGTACAGATGTTAAAATCACACTACTGTATACCTGGCATTCAGTAGTTCATTTGTTAGAACTTTGAAGAGAGAGAAAAAGATTTAGCAATCTATTGTGAATGAGCAATGCACTCTTGTCTGGAGGTAATCCTCCAAAATAATGGCAAGAGATGAAGAAATTGGTGGTGCTATGGCCACTGGTGCCTGTTGTACTAGCTTTGTGTGTAAATTATAGAACATCAGACTCCAGTCTGTCAGCTTGGTACCTTTCAGAGGCACTAAATTCATATAGAGAAATAAAACCTGGAAGAAGGAAAACAAAACAAACAAACAAACAAAAAATCAACAGCCATCTGGGTATTTTTCTTTCAGTGGAGAACAAAAGAACATAAGCTGACTGTTGCTACTACAGTTTATCTAGAAATGAACATGCTGTATTGATCTAACCAGAAAGATGCGTCTTTCTCATGATAGTCGAGGGGAAGAATGGTCACATTCATCTTGAAAAATAGCACAGTTTCAGCAAAGGCTTACTAGCTTTTGGGTTGGTTGTTTTTTGTTGTTGTTTTTGATTTTGTTTTGGTTTTTTTGCAGGTCTACTTAAATCTGTAATAAAATGAAAAGTGTTTTAAGTGAGGCTGTTGTTTTACTTGGGACACTTTTCCACTGACCTATGTACTGAAATAGTTAAGGTTTTCAATTTCCAGTGTCTTTGAATTTGTAAATATTGGAAACATTTTCCTGACACTAAAAAGTGCTTTCCATGTCCATAATTTGTTCTCAGCTTGTTACCAGTTAGATCTTCCCAAGCTTCCCTGACCAACTGCTGTGTTACTTCCGAGCCCAATGAGAATAAGGCTGAGAATCAGCGGGATAACTTTAAATTAGCAACACAAGCACATTCTCACAATTTTACATTGGAATGTTTCGATGCAAAAATCACCCAAAAGTAGTAGCTGTGTTTTACAATTGAACCAATGAAGACAAAGTGAGGAGAAAGTGACTGTCAATAAAGAAATGTAGAACTAAGGTAGTGCTTAATTTCTTCCATTCACCTTGCAATCATTTGTTCCCTTCCAACGCTATTTTTTGCTTTTTCCAGGCAGGAAAAGTTCACTTTGGCTATGTGTATGGAGTGAGTGTCACTGGGTGCCTTGCTATGCATGCCCTGTTGAACCTGATGAGCATCCCAGGAGTCTCACATGGCTGTGTTGCAAGTGTTTTGGGCTACTGCCTGCTGCCCATGGTGATCCTGTCCTCTTCTGCAGCCATCTTCTCGCTACAGTAAGTACCAGTGCTTGGCAGCAAGAATCATCTGAAGGACAGTGAGTCAGAAGCGTTACGAAAATGTTTTGTAAATGGTTATGTAGTTAATTTATCTTTCAAAATTGTGAAGAAAGACACCATTCTGTGTAGGTGAAAATGGGCAAAATGGAAGGTCTGTGCCTGAGAAGGGTTATATAAAATCACTTTAATACAAGTCCATTGTTTCCCATGGGGACTAAGAGTGGCTTTGATTTTTGCAGCAGTCCCAAATGTGCTTTTTCTTTTCCAAGAACCAGCAGTATCCAAAATAAGGTATCAATGTTAAAAGAGACTCATAGACTTTTGTCTTACATAGCTGATTCTCTTGGTTTTTTTTTTTTTTTTTTTTTTTTTGTTGTTGTTGTTGTTGTTGTTCATAATACCAGGCTCCCATCCTTGTATTTCCTTTCTTTCTATAGACTGACTTCTGTGTGACAGAATGAAATAATCAGCAACCTTTAATGAAGTGGAGCATTAAGATGTAGCTAAGTCCTATTCTCCAAGGAATTGTTATAGTATAATCGCTTGGAAAAAACTAATGTGCAGCATTGTATATATGTGAGTGTGTGGAGGAGTATTCATTAATATACATAAGAATTAAGAAGTTTTCATGCAAGTCCCTCCTTTCTTCTCATTCCCTATGCCTTTTGAGATATGAGCTGTGTTTACCTCTATGTTGACATAAAGAAAAACACAAAAATGTTCCAGGTCTTGACTGAAGGCTTTGGGCAGTATTTTTTATCCATAGTGAACACACTTAATAATAATTCCCCTCCTTGGTCTTTTTGAATACTTTCTGAACTCTCTAACTGGCAAGACATGGGACTTGGCAGCTGATGAGCAATAAATGTACCTTCTTTCTTTTATTTGATAAAGCAGCAATTTTACGTATGAAATTATTTTTTAAGGAAATGATATAACATTGTCAAGATTTTAGCAGAATACTTGTTGCTTGTTTCTGTAGAGCTATAATATATTAGATTGACCTTATTCTGTATATTCAAGTGTTACTGGGTTGTCCTTGAAAAGATGAGCAGCAGTGACACTGAAGAAGCCACTCATTCTCTGTTCTCCTACACTTCCATATTTGCTTGATTAACCTGTTTAATAATCCACCCAAATAAAAGGTGCAAATATGTAATCACGGGACAGATGGGGCTAACTCCAAGCCAGCTGTTATAACTGCATGGGATGTTGTTGACTGTACAAGGAGTCACCAAGCACGCACCATAGCCTTATAAAATGCTGTGAGTTTAGAGAAAGCACATCCTTCAAAAATCTATAGTCTAGTGAGATAGGCTTTACAAAAGTAAACTATTATTTCTGAAATGAATTGATAATGTCAAGTGTCTGTCTCTAAGATTCTGCAAAGATCCTTTCTCCTTTGCTGTATGAAACTCCTTGAATCAGTAAGAAGTTATCTATTGCACAAATATCTATTATTAACTTTTACTAAAATTAAGTAGCAAATTTAAATCCAATGTGACTCATTATATTTGTAATTTTAAAAATTATTTAAAATTGCAAAGGAAAAACAGCAGTACATTCATGTTTTTTTTTCCCCTAATCTTTGTGAAAGTTATTTCAACCATTTCAAATTGTAAAGAATTTAATAACTTCAATCTGTTTTCACAGAAAATATACATAAGATTGTACACATAGAAAATGAAAGATTAATATTAATTCAACAATTTGTGGTATTCATGATCACCTATTTCAGTGTTAATTGGGAATCACACAAAATGTGAAACCTTTGGGTGCTGAATGGCACCATAGAGAGAACCAGTTCTCTTATTCAGACTTGTGCGGAACCAGATTCTCTCAAAGCTTTACTTGTGCCCATCTATGCTGATGTCATGGCTGAGGCCAAGCTGATTAAGCAATCTTTCTGGGAGAAATATCAGCAATTATTTTTCCTGGAAATAAAAAATAATTCTTCACTATCACCTCTATGAACAGGCTGACCACAGCATTTCCTTTACTAAATAGTAAAGAAAATAAGTTTAAGATGGGAGAAAAGATTTCTTTGACCCATCTGATGTACAGGACTCATTTGATGACTTTATCTGCAAGTTGCTATAGAGAGGAAGGAAGAGGTACTGCTCATGTTTGCTCACCCAGCTCTATCTTTGTGCTCCTCCATACATCCTCTAAGCTACTGTGAGCATGACACCTGTTCCTTGCCCCTCTCCCATGCAGGATGATCTGAACCTCATCAACACATGAGACATGCCATTTGTTAAAGCTAGCCTGTTCATATCAGCATTTTCTGTGCTGTAAGATCAAGGACTGAATGTACAAGTGCACAGACTTATCCCTTGGCTCCAACACGATTTTATGTCACCTTTCCATCTTGCTCTCTGCCTGTTCTGGAACAAACCATTAGAGGCCATTGAACCCTCAGTGCAATGCAGAGCTCTAAATTGTACTGCCTTGTAATTGGCCCCTAAAGAGTCATTACAGTAGCTGCAAATTATCATCAGGCAGCAAGTTCCTGTAGATTTCTAACCTCTGCAACCATATGGATGGATCAAGAAGCAATCCATAACAGCTCTGAGTTTCTGGCTAGCTGGTTAACTGAGCATCTTTGTGTCTATGCTTGGAGAAGAGGCTTAGTTCACAGTGTAATCACAGTGTAATTCCCTGAATGCCTCTGCATAGGCTTAGCAGGACACTTCAACTGAGAATAATAAACTACATGGTCTTTATTGTTTTATTTATAGTGCCTTGAAGTTACAACAAGGTGCTGAGTCACCTTAAAATCAGTTTTCTCCTTCCTTTCCAAAGCTGCAAGAGCTAAGAACATCAAGTACCTTATTGGCTTGGAGACAAAAAGAAAGAAATGAAGTATGACTTTATGTAAATGCAATACGTAAACTAAGGCAATTAAAGGAGAGCTTTATTCACTGTGGTTTAGTTGCAATAACAAGATTAGTGAAGATTATTTTTGACAAATGAGCCTAAGTAGGTATATGTAGTCTGTTTCTGATTCTGTTTAGCTTGTACTTTGGAAGAACAGAGTCCCACAAAGTTGCTTAGCAAGTGGCAGATGTTTGTTCATTATGGAGATCCTTGAGACTGACACAGCAAGTGTGTGCAACACAGCCAACTCAATATGCACCTCAGCAGCACTGTGCACATGAGCTCATGCATTTTACAGAAGTAGACTGCAAATACAGTGTGCAAATAAAACATATATTAAACATTATTTATTGGCATGGTCTTGCTCCTACAGGGCTTAATAGCCAGATCTCTAATATACAGGAATATTTCAGAAGGCTTCTGACCACAGTCCCATAATCACCCATTTTCCTGGCCACCCTGCACCTGAGAAGCAGCAAAAATTAACTTCGGAAGAGCTTGGTTGTCACTGAGGGGCAGAGTAGAAAGCCACAATGTGGAGAAGAATGTCAGAATGAGCAAAAATACATTTCCTCAGTGCTTCTTCTCCTGTCCCTTACATTACTCTAGATGTGAAGCTTTTAAAAGCCTACTTGGGCTTTCTCTTGGGAGTCACCTATGTACATGGCCAGCTGAGTGTACATCCTGAATTGTTGCTCCTCGGTCTGAGACACACTTCAGACCTTTGAAGTGTTACAAAACTACATCACCTCCAGGTCATCATTCTATCTGGGGGAAGAGTAGGACTGTAGTGTCACTGTAAATCTTAGTGACTTCTTCTTGATGGATTTTGGCTGAATAAGATCTTTGCTAACATAAAAAAAAAAAAAAAAAAGAAAAAAAGAGTCTACAGCTGCTGCATCTATTGGAGCCCACGAAGATACTGGAAACAAATTTCTCTTTCTGGCAATACTGCTGATGACACTGCTGAAGGAATTACCTTGGTCTCTTGCAGCACCTGTTATCTTATCAGTAATGAGTTGCCAGACATGAGCTCATGATTTGATGTTACATGTGCTAACAGATGCACTTTTTGTTTCTTTTCTTTTTCTTGTAGTGGGATCCTGGGAACTTTGCTAGCTCTGTTTGTTATTGGATGGTGCAGTTTGTCAGCCTCCAAAATTTTTACCTCTGCCTTGGCCATGGAAGGACAACAACTCCTTATTGCGTACCCGTGTGCTTTGCTGTATGGACTCTTTGCACTTCTGGCGGTTTTCTGAAACATACTTCCTGGTAGCCTTATTACAGTCTGTTTATGTTTGTTGGAGGGATAGGAGGTTATTTACTCATTTTTAGATTGTGCAGAATTGCATTAAGTTCCATTAACAAAATTAGATTATGCAACTTACCTTTTATTTGCTTAATGGCTGATAATAAAATTAAAAAAAAGGAAACTAACAGGCAGATGATTGCATTGCTGATGTTTTGAGAATCTTGCAGCTTAGAGAAAAGAGGTTTGTATGGAGAAGATAGTAAAAATAGTAAAAAAAAAAAGAAATAAATGACAATTAAAAACAAATCTTGTCTTTTGAGTGATTATAATATATATAGTTTATACACTAGAGAGTAACTGGAAAGTAATAACACAAATATTTAATAGATCTAGTGATTCTAATGAAAATGCACATTTGTTTCAGAAAAAAAAGCTTATTATTTGATTACTAATAACACAGAATTTATGCGTTTTTTTCTGTTATTATTTTCTATATTTAACAGAGGATTTAGTGGTTCTGCTTTGTGATGTGGAATGACTACTCAAGTAACAGGAAGAACAGGTTGCTACAACAGAGGGAGGAAACTAGAAATGTCATCTTGTTTTATTTTTAAGAGGTTTTGCTGTCCAAAACCCTATTGTACTGTTTGTAATGTACAGTAATGTTAGATTTTAAAATTGCCACTAAACCACTACCTGCTGTCACTGCAGAAAAGCACCATACAAAGCAAATGCAGCTCCTAAAAATGTCTCCTGAAAGGCACAACTGTATTTAAGCAAGCGAAATAAAACCTCCACAATTTTATCTGCTCCCCCCCACACCCCACAATCTATTTGCTGCTTTTAGTCTTATAGAAACCTAACATTTTTATAACAGCAGTGAAACACAGAATGCACAAGATGACATTTCAATACATAATATTAGAAGTATCGAGCCATCAACAGAAAATAGAGATGTGTGTATAGTCATAACAAGAGTAAAATCTAGTAGGCAGTGCTAGAGAAAACACATGTAGCTGTAGAAACAGCTAGGGAGAAGAAATATGAAATAAAGGGAAATGTGAAGGAAACAAATGGCTGCAGATTATTTCATCAGTGTTCCAGGGTGTCTTCCCTCGTGATGAATGTTTTTATTATTTTAATTATTCTCCAATTTATTCATCATTTGAACTGTTCTGTGAAGTGCCTGCAAAATATTTCTCTCACTAAATAGAGGACAAATGATTCTGGTACTGAAAAACCAGAAATGCAAAAAAATTGCAGAAGCTTAACATGGAGAAACTGCTCAGTAATATGTGAAAAAAAACTGTCTTCTTAATCCTTTTCATCCTTTTCAGGACAAAAATAAGTTAGATGATCAGTTTGTTCTCATGCTATTGATTCTGTTTCTGAATTGAAAGAGCCATTGATAAAAATATTTCCCATTGCTCACATATTTGTTTTCAAGAGCACTTGAGGAAACCTGTTTGGAATTCACTGTACTGAACTCCTGTGGACAGAATTCATAGTTAGTAGACTTGAGAAGTAAACGAAAGTTAATGTATACTTATCCAGTCCTTAAAAATCACAGCTCATTTATAGGAAAGGACTTCTTGTATTTACACATTTCCTTCTTGCAAGGCTGTGAGCACAAATAAGGAGAGGTAATGCTGGAGGTATAATCCTGTTGCAAACTATGGATAGCACTACATGGGGTCTCGTTGCATGTAAGTGGGAACTTTGTGAATGTGGAAGATCAGCATCTGTGAGCATGACAGATTTGGCCCTGCTGCATTAAGGAGTAAATTTGTCACTAATGAGATGCAGATAAACACACTGTGTGACTCCAGGGTATGGTTATAAAATCAAGCAGTTTGATTTACCATGCACTAATGTCATTCTCATCTCTGAATAGGGAAAGATTCATATGATTTGGTGTGCAGATAAGACTGTTTAGAAAAATTTAGATCCATTTTTGTTCCACACTTTCTATTGTCATCCACACTGACTAGAACAAGTATGAAATACCAGTGTTCCATAGTACTTTATATTCATTTTCTTCCTAATATGAATGATATGAATGGCAGGAGAACTAGTGAATAGAGCCATCATTTTGTGTTTTGATGTCAGAGGCAAGTCACATTACTTATGGAGAGAATAAACACCTTGAATATTTCCCACTATATTTACAAAGCAAATGCAAGTCTAATTACAGCTTTATGTTTATTCTCTCAAGATTTATAACTTTTTTTCATTCCCACACCTGCTTTATTTCAACTGATAACTTTAATTACTTTCCTTGTTTTACTGGTGAGCTACTCTGTTTTCCTTTTACCTGTCCCCAAAATATGTCCACCAAGTGACATGTGTTGGTGCTGTACTCCCGGCATAGCATTCTTCAGGGGTCTCTATGTGGTCTGTGAGGATTTAATCCTCTTAACCATTCTCCTTCAACTTTTAAACAAGACTCTTCATTTTTACACAGTTCTCCTTTCTGAAGTTGAGAAAAATCACAGTGCCGTTTTTGGCCCTGCTGTTCCTGTGTGGTTCCTCACGTCAATATTACAGTACATATAAAATATATATTATGTTATTATATGTTATTATACAAGCTGTTACTAAAAGAAATGTTATTTTGATCTAAAATAAAAACACTGCAAAACATATACTCTGTAACATACCCTTTTTCCATCTCTTTGTGCAGGCTTTCCCAATACCACCTCGTTTTCCTGTACTTTCCCTTGTCTAGGCCATTGTATTTCACTCCCTCACATCATTCCATGAAAATTTAATACAAGTCTGGCAAGCTATTGCTTTCAACTTGCCAAAGAGAGGATTATAAAATAATAATGGGTCATGGACTGATTTTTAATTCATGCTTCCCACCCTGAAGAGTTACAAAAACAGAAGACTTAAATATAAGCTTCAAAGCAAAAGGAAGAATACAGTTTTGGAGGAGGAAAGTTGCTGATCTGTCTTTGGTTTCTTGATTTTCTCTGCATGCATATGAAACTTTAATTCCGAATGCATATTTGCACACAAAGCCCCATAGTTTCTTAGTTCCTGGATGTTAGTTGTAATGGCAGATTCAAGTGGTAAGGGGACAAGGTGTTCACCTGTCTTCCACTGTCTCTGCTGTGTGCCTGACATCCTCAAGGTCACCTTCAGAAACCAGCTGGAAGCATTTTGCTGTAGTCTAAACATTTTGCAGTTATAATGTGATAGAACACAAAGGAGTGTTAAACCATACAAATTTTGACTGAGGGAAGACTGTTGTATGGCTTGGAGCAGGAAATGATGATAAAACAGGTGCCTGAACAGCCACTGCTTACAAAATGTTGGGTTGCATCCAGGGAACTGGTCTCCTTGACAAGCCAAGGAACACGTTTGTAGTAAAAAGATTGTGTTATTTATCAAAAATCATCTTGTCAGATATCATCTTTAAAAGGTTATAATACAGGCCTAGAATAGTTTACTTATTGGTAAACTGAACTGAGGGTCAAATGCTGCTGACACAGTGAATTGGACACACTCTGCGTGTCTTGTTGAAATAGCTCTATTAATGAAGGGTAAAGTTTTTCTGTTTTTTTTAGCATGGAAACTATAGAAGGATTATATTAAAAAAAAAAACAGTGAAACTGATTTCATAGCAGCACTGAATATGCCATTTGAGGAGACATAACAGCTTTGGTTTTTTGTCCTAACCCTCTGTTGCCACAATGTTATTTCAGCCCCTTACTAAGAAGCCACCTTTATATGTTGGCATTTCCTGTCCACAGAATGATCTTAAGTGAATTTTGCAGTAATGTTGAATTACTGACCTTTATTTCTATTTCTAATGGATATAAATGAAGGAAAAATTCAATAAATTGTGTGCTTTAAATTTCCTTTTCTTCCCCTATTGTCAGTAGCATATTTAGTGGTCAAGCTGTTGTGGGCTTATTCATGCTTGTTACCAGATATATACATATATATTATAGACTTTAAGACAGTGGAGCTGCAACAAGTTCTGAGCAGTACATCACTGCTTTCTGAGGTCTTAACACTAGCAAACTATTGACCCAGCCTGGGAGATGATGTATATGTTTTCAAAGAGTTCAGTGATTGCAGCATCCAATAAATCTTATGGACAATCACAAGCATGCAATGGCAAAGCTCACAATGACATGATGCATTTGGTGGTTAATGCATTTTCTGGCAGATAACAAGAGGCCATCGGATCAGCAAGAATAGACTGCTACATAACATCTACCAAAATAATCTAGAACATTCATGACAGCTTGCCTAGGTTGCTGTAAAATGAAATTGACTTCTACCTATGTTGGCAGTACTAGTAGATATGTTTCTTTTCAAAATCTATTCTCTGACAAAATCTGCCCTTCACTGATTCCATTTTGATTTCACCACTTATGCATTTAGTCTAAGCAAACTTCAACGGTGCTGTTGGCATTACTGATTTTCCAGCTGTTGCCAAGTCTTCTCTGGTTAAACCGTTTCACCTGCCGGAGGTTCTTGATGGTGCATTCTTAAGAAAGGTCAAAGCATGCACATGGGCTGAGTTTTAGTTGTGTTTGCCAATACTTTTGAAAGAATAACATCTGCAAAATGGCAATATGTTTATGTGATTACTAAGCACATTTATTAGACTTATGGTCTCAAAGTTAGCTGAAAAATGCCTGGCGACCTTGGTGCTGAGTCACTGAACCAGACAAACGATGCTATTCACAGTGATCTGCATACAGTTGCATAATAAAGACCTTGGACAACACAAACTTTCTGCTATGGTAGCACTTTAGTTACAAATGTGGTAAGGAATCCTTACCCTTTTTTTGCCATGATGTTAAGTGCAGTGGTAATGAGTGAGAAGAGCCCATACAAAGCACCAAACATATGTAATTGTGATTATAATAGACCACATGGGAAGTCACCACTTTGTAGGGAACAAGGGGTAGATTTTCAGAGGCACAAAGGCCAATCTTGCTGAAATTCTCTGAGAACAGAGCTCAAGCTGTACTTTGGGGATTCTCCTGACAGCCTCTTGACAAGCACTTCTGAGCAATCAAGGAGCAAGGAGCCACTGTGCCACCACGGTCAGTCTCCCAGGGGACTGATGTGATTCTGGGTAGATACAGCTACAGCAATCAAACAGAAGATGCTATCCCAATGTGTCATTGCAAAATAGGATCCCTGGCTAAAACACTGT